ATTTTGTGTCTTGGTTTTCTTAACCTGTGAAATGGATCTGTAAGAGACTTAATTCAAAGATTCTTATGAAGATTAAATAGGATAATGTTTAAGACTAAAAGAAAGTTCTAGAAACATAGGAAATTTGAAAGAGCTACAATTCATCCCTCTTTATAGAGTTTCTTACAACGCTATGAGTCATTTGTTTATTTGATCTGTCTCTAATATCTTAAGATACGGAGTGGGATATTACATCTTTTTCTTTCCTTTGTACAACTGGGAGGAAATATTTGGCTTAAAATTAGAAATAAGACATGTTTCTCTTTCTGTTGCACTGGGAAAATCTGCTGGCAATGACTTCTCAAGAGTACTAAAGACCAATGACATCAATTTAAAAACTAAAGTGCACCCGATACTTCCTATGCCTCTGAACGTTGGACAGTGAATAAGGATGACAGAAAAAGAATCTATGCCTTTGAAATGTGGTATTGGAGAAGAGTACTAAATAAACCACACACTGCCCGAATAACAAGCAAGTCTTTCTTGGAGAAGTGCAAACACAGTACTCCTTAAAGACAAGGATGGCAAAACGTCATCACATATTGTTAGAGCCTGTTGTCAAGAAGTGCCAGTCCTTAGAAAGATGATCATACTGGGAAAGGCAGAGAATCAGAGAAAAAGTTGAAATCCCCTGACAGCATGGATTGACACCATGCCTGTAATAATGGGCTGGAGCATTTTAGAGTGTTCGAGGATGGGATGGTGCAATATAGATATGGTTCAGATCTGTTGTTCGCAGAGTTGCTATGAGCCATAGTGGACTTGATGACACTTAACAACCAACAACTCTATAAACTGCTAATTATAAAACTTTGTTTTAAAATAGATTTTTTTTCCAATCACAAAAAATATTCACTATCATAAAATTTAAACACTACAGAAATGATTAAATGAGTAATTTAGAAAGTGAAAAACCCCTCACTAACCTACTCTCCATCCCTCTATCCCTAGGCATAATTGATTTTAATAAGATAGATAGATAGATAGATAGATAGATAGATAGATAGATAGACAGATAGATAGATCATAGATTCATCTGTTTTTCTGTTTATACACTAAGGTATTTTATTAAAATAAAATAACATTTTATCCATTGTTTTTGTCATTTTCTTTTTTCTTTTTTTTCCTGTAAGATACATCTTCATTGTATGTCAACACATTTTGGTCTTTTTTTCATTCCCAGCAGAACAGAGGGATGTATTTCAAGAGTGCATTTTCATCTCTCTCTGAACTTAGGCACAAATTTACCTACCATTCAGATTTGATTGGAGTAAGTCCCTGTCAGCTGACCTTTGAGTGGCCAACTCTCTATCTCTAAACACTGGCTCAAAGGAGCACTACGCAAGTGACTTCAAAGATCTTCTCAGTCCATGAGACAAGGGAGGGGACTGCACCTTCCCCGGTACAGGGAAAAGAAGCAAGATGAATGAGGAATATGCATTCACACAATAATTAGCCACATGCACATCAAGGAAACACCTCAAAGGACACTTCCTGTGTGAGGTATGGAAGCCCATTTGTGCACAGCTCATTTGGAGCAGGGAGGAAATGTTACTTGACAATGATAAGGTCAAACACACTTAAGTTAAAATTGCCGTAGGAGGGTATTCATCTCCACTTCTTTCACCTGAAAATCTATTTCCTTCTTTTTTTCATTTTTGTTATCTTTTCATACTTTCATTAGCTACTCTTTCTCTTTCTAGCTAACAAAAACACAGATATCACTATCTCAAACACTGAATACTCATTCTCGTGCAGGGCATAAAGTATATAATTACATATATCCCTCTAACAATTAGTGACACTTTCATGATTGGACTCAGTGCCTCTGTAGCAGCAACCATGAAACCATGTCTTTAGGATTAAACAGTAATTCCACTGAAGCCAGAGGTGTTAACACAAAGCTGCATTTTAGTCCTAAGGCTTCTTGAAATGCTGAACTCTCTGGAGGCTATTGTCCAATTCATTAATATTAAATAGTCTATGATTCAAAACTGGTTAAGTAGGGACTCTCATCCATTGTTGGGCATGATTGTTTTAGTTCCGCTGCAGTAACAAAACAAATTGTGAAACAGTGCAGTTATAGTGGACAAATAGTTCTTCAGAAGTCAAACAGAGTTACCATTTGACTAAGCGGTTCCATTTCTAGGTATGTATTCCAAAGACTCAAAAGAAAGAACTTAGATCATCATATACTGCTTATCATTGTACAGGTTTACAGCCAAAAGGTGGAAAAGTCTAAGTAAGTATCCTTCAACACATCAATGGACATAGAAAATGTGGTTTTTACATACAATAAAATAGTACTATGTTACTATAAGATATGGTATTCTGATATGTGCTATGACATTAATGAATCTTGAAATATTTAAATCAGACACCAAAAGGTTGATATTATATGATCTCACTTAAATGAAATATCTAAAAATAGGCTAATGAATGGAGATCAAAGTTTACTAGTGATTGCTAGGGCAAGTGAGAGGGAGTTGTTGTTAGGTGCCATCGAGTCAAGTACAATTCGTAGCAATCCTATGAACAAAAGATTTGAATGAACCTTGTTCTATTCTGCACCATCCTCATACTTCCTGACACACAAAAGCCCATTGAAGCAGTTACCATGTCAATCCACTTGGTTGAGGGTCTTCCTCTCTTTTGCCAACCCCCCCCCCCTTCCCAGTATCAGGTTCTTCTCTGGGGAATAGCCCCTCCTAGCAACATGTCCAAAGTATGTGAGGTGAAGCGTCATCATTCTTGCTTCCAAAAAGCTTTCTGGCTGCAATCTCACCAAACATAGCTGTTTGTTCTCTTGGCCATCCATGGGATGTTCAGTGCTATTCACCAACACCACAGCTCAAAGGCGTTAATTCTTTTCCTGTCATCCTTATTTATTAAGAGAGAAGAATTTCTTCTTGAAAACAATGTATTCAAATTTTGCAGATAAACTAGTGGAAAATTTTAAAAAACAAAAGAGATCTGTTAATGGTGCTGAAAATATGAGATGCCACTAATGGTGATGGTTGCATAGTGAATGTAATGAAACACAAGCCCAACAGACATTATTAAAATTGTTTTAATTGTATATACTAATGCCATTTTACTCTTCAGCTGTGTGGATCTCAGTATCATTATTCAAGGCTGGTGTTCAGGTTCTGTTTATTTTGTGTCCTATTTTAAAATGAGCCTTTCTGGAATAATGTTTGAGAAATGAAAATATCTAGTCATGCTTCTTATTTTATATTTTATTATTT